ATCAAATAGACTGCATGCAAAGACGCACTCAACTCCTGCTGCTGCTGCTGCTGTTGCTGTTGCTGCTGCTGCTGCTGTTGCTGCTGCTGCTGCTGCTGCTGGTTTTGGGGCCACTTGGCGTTCACGAGGTACACGGAGCCGCCCGCGGGGTGGCCGGGCAAGTCCGACAGCAGCAGCCGCTTCTTTACTAGCAGCAAACCTGAAGCAGCAGCAGCAGCAGCAGTAGCAGTAGCAGCATTAAGCTCAGTAGACGCAGCAGCGGAAAGAGCAATAGGTCAGGTAGGCAAGCAGCAGCAACTACATCAGCAAACAAAGCAGCAGCAGCCGCAGTAAATTCTGCAGCACGGCAAAACGCAGCAGCAACAGCAGCAGCAGCAGCAGCTCGTGTACCTGCAGACCCTGTGCCCCCCAGGAGTTTATGTGGGGAGAAGAAAACGGCATCTGGAGCAGCAGCAGCAGCAGATACTGCTGCTGCTGCTGCTGCTGCTGCAGGAGATGAGGTGTTGGTGTCTGCTGCAGCAGCAGGACACAGCCAAGGGTGCGAAAACAGCAAGCGTGGGGGGGCCTCCTCCTCTTCCTGCTGCTGCTGCTGCTGCTGCACCTGCTGCTGCAGCGGGTTAAAGTCAATGGGGACGTGTGCTGCTGCTGCTGCAGCATCAACAGCAACGAGGCCCCCGTGAGCATGCACCAGCTTGCACGCAGCAGCTAGAGTAGCAGCAAACGCGGAAGCTTCGCTGCTGCTGCTGCTGCTGCTGCTGGTGCTGCTGCTGCTGCTGCTGCTACCTACAAACCTGCGGCTGGCTAACAAAGTCCCCGTGACATTTCCTGCTGCAGAAAGGAGACAGACAGGGATGAGGCAGACCTTTTGCTGCTGCAGATCTAAGGCAGCAAAATATGACTCGAAGCCACTGTAGCAGCAGGTAGGGCCCTTGCTGCTGCTGCTGCAGCAGCTGCTGCTCCACCCCGGCTGTACATGCTGCTCTAGTAGCTGCTGCTGCTGCTCGCCTCTGCTGCTGCCGCTGCAAGCTTCGCAACAGTCTTCCCCGTCTTCGGCCGTCCCTTGCTGCAGCTCTTCCTGCTGCTGCTGCTGCTGCTGCTGTTGCTGCTGCTGCTGCTGGTTATACCGAGAGCAGCAGCGGGAAAGGCGCCGCAGCAGCCGCTTGAGTCCCCACAGGCAAAGGCCACCTGTTGCAGTATCTAAAGACAGCAGCTGAAATGAGTATGAGACACCTGCTGCTGCTGCAGCTGCTGCTGCTGCTGCTGGGCCTGCTGCATCAGGGCCTCCTGTTGATGTGCTGCAGGAGAGGGAGTCTTGAGGCCAGCAGTAGGCCCCCGCTTGAGCTGCTGCTGCTGCTGCTGCTGCTGCTCCAGCTCGGCTCTTCATGCTGCTGCAGTAGCTGCTGCTGCTGCTGCTGCTGTCCTGCCGTGTCTGTACAGCTGAAAACGGCAGCAGCAACGAGTGGTGGCCTGTGGGGTCGCAAAGGAATATGACGTGCACGTGGGGCTTCTGCTGCTGCTGTTGCTGCTGCTGTTGCTGTTGCTGTTGCTGCGGCTGTGTCTCCTGTTGCAGCAGCTGCTGCCCCTGCTCAGTCTGCTGCTGCGGCTCTTCACGCTGCCCAGCTTGCTCCAGTCCCTGCCCCCCCTCTTGTCCTCCCTGACCCTCTTCCTGCTGCTGCTGCTGCTGCTGCGCTGCAGCAGCAGCTTCTATATCTGTTATTGCATGCACATACAAGTGCCGCCGCGCATGCAAAGAAGTCTTGAGGCGGCAGCAGCAGCGGCGGCAGCGAAAAGAGCCCCAGCGGTCTTCTTCAAAAACCTCGCTGAAGGCCTGCAAATAGCTTTTGCTGCTGCTGCTGCTGCTGCTGCAGCTGGGATTGGCTGCAGCGACAGCAGCTGCGGCGGCAGCGGCCTGAGGGCCTGACAGCAGAGACACAGCTGCCGCTGCAGCAGCTGCAGTCGACGCCGCACCAGCTGCTGCAGCAGCAGCTGCTGCTGCCTGCGTCTCCTCAGCTGCAGCAGCAACCTGCGGGGCCCCCAGCAGCAGCAGCTGCAGCAGCTTTGCTGCTGCAGCAGATGCCCCAGAGCCACAAAAGTAAAGGGCGTCCCCGGGGCCTGCATTGAAGTACTCCTTCGCTATTTGACGCGCCTGAAAACTCCGAACCCTAAACCCTAAACCCTAAACCCTAAACCCTAGCTGCCAAAGAGCCATTGGTGCCCTCGGGGCCTAGAGTTCCTTCCGGGCGACGAACTAGGGTTTAGTTGGGACCTTAGCGAGGGGAGCCTACCGCCTAGGGTCTAAAGAGCATAGGGTTTAGGGTTTAGGGTTTAGGGTTTAGGGTTTACCTCGCGGACAAAGTAAGTGGCCTGCCGCCCCAAAGCCGCCTGGTGGCTGTGAGTGTTTGCAGCGAGGGGCAGCACTGAGGTGTATATACACCTTTCCACGCAGCGCAGCGGGCGGCCTGCGCAGCAGCA